TCGTTACCGCGCAGAACATCACGATCAGGCCCTTGCCTTGTCCGGGTTACTTTTTCTCCTTCGACGCGCAAGTCAGCCCGAATTACGAGATAATTTTCGCGATTCAGTTCTTCTCGGGATTAGTTACCTTCTCGATTACGACAGGTGTGTGTGGTCTCACAGCGGTCTTTGTGATGCACGCTCGCGGCCAGTTAAAAATACTGATGAAGCTAATGACACATCTTGTCGAGGAGCAGTGGCATGAGAAATACAATGTTGATCGGAAGCTGGCCGAAATTGTCGACTATCAAATACGGATACGGAAGTGAGTAGTTTTGTGAGTTGTAATTTTTATTAAATCTATATTACTACCATAATATTGATTGATCGCTATTATTAACGTTGTATACCGCACGTGTAACCAAAGTTTTTCAATCCTCTTTCTTGTTCCTCCTGGAAATATTGATTTAATATTATCCATAACCACATTTCAGTTTTTTACAATTAGTGGAGCATACTATGCAACAAGTATGTTTGATAGAATTAATGGGTTGCACCATAATCATCTGCATTCTAGGATATTGTATAATAATGGTTTGTAACTTTTTCTATCGGTTTAGTTCAATGAGGAAGGAATTGTGTTGAGTGGCCTTATATATGTGATTTAATCGCGCTTACATTAAAATCCCACATTTATAGGAATGGAAGAACAGTAACACAATAGCTATGTGCTCTTATTTCATAACACTCACATCCATGATAATAAATGTGTTTATGTTTTGTTACACTGGTGAACAGCTCACGACTGAGGTATTCGTGTTAACCTGCAAGATCTTGATAGCAGACGTCTCTGTATAACGACCGATATTTTATAGTTAATTGTACATATATAAGTGAAAATTTTTATTCATTGCAAGTAACATATATTTATATTTTTTTGTTTTGTAAAAGTGAAGTTGATGACTTTTACCTGGTTTTAAAAACGGCATTATTGAGATATCGATTTGTTAACCTATACATTTTTGATCCATGTGTTTTTGATAATATTAACAACAGGCGGAGAATGTGGCTATTACATCGTGCGAGCTCGAGTGGTACCGTCTTCCGTATAGGAAAGCACGCGGCATCGTGCTTGTGATGATCATGTCCAACTCGCCAACCAAGATCACCGCCGGAAAGATCATGGATTTATCCTTCAAGACATTTGGTGACGTAAGATGATATTTTTAATCGAATCTATTTATACATGTATGGGATTGCTATGTTGTTATATTGCGGAAAGCTTAATAATATGTGGCAAATTTATTATATCTGTGAACGACTTTTTTTTCAGTAAATGTGTAACTTAAACACACCGCCTCTTATCCGCATGTACAATGTTCTTCATATGTTTCATATTTACTACATGAAATCAATGTCTATTTTTATCGAAACTAGCGAGACGGTTTTGAAATCTTAAGCGAGTAATTGCGTCATATTTTGTTTTAGGTGGTTAAAACATCTATGACGTATTTTAATATGCTTCGAAACGTAACCGATTGAATATATGTGTTCTTATAACCAAGATAAGGATGTAAACTGCAATGGTGCATTGCAATGGTGACATACATGGTATATTAGTACTATGGATGTTAAATGCAAATATTGATGCATAGTACATATATAGTATGTATACATATATTTAATGTACTCTCGATTTAAATACATTTCTTTTACGAAAAACTTTTACGAAAACATTAATACGGATAGAATTTTTTGTCTTACGGTGAGTTTGAAACACGTAACATCAAGATATGATTTTTTATATCTTCTTTCTTGCCTCACATAGTGCAAACAAATTTATTTCACACAGCATTGAAACTTCCACAACACGACGTTCTCATAACGCTATGAACATCGTCGATCATTATAAAGCATAATCTAAACATACTATTTATTTTAAACGAAAGATTATAATAATTACGTTATGATAGATGACGAAAAATATTTCTGCTATCATCCAAAACATGCGATAACACGGATTTTTTGCTTCCAACAACTGTATTCTTTATACTGTCATTACAGATAATTTTTCTTTGTAAAACATTGAGCTTTCATGATTTTCCAAGATGGGAAAGTTTTCCTTTGTAGAAAAGCTTTTTTCCCCCATACAGCAAATAAAAAGCACTATACTAAGTTTACGATTAACGTCTCTCGTCAAGCATAAAAACATTTATTCAGATATACCATGTTGTACGAAGAAATACATTGTGCTGGTTCATTTCGTAATTATTTCAGGAAAGTTACAGTTATATTTACCCTTCTTCAATATAAGTAAGTATTGCGTTTGCAAGGTCAACATCCTGTGAAAATCAATGGCCATCTGCTATAGTAGCGACATCAGTAACAACCCTTCTTCAGATTTAATAATTAAAAAAGAGTTGGAAGAACTTCCTTCTTGCGTACATCAAAAATAGATTAGTTTGCGAGTTATCTGCAAAAAGTTGTCATGCGTGCATTGCTAATAATATAGGTGACGTGTCTTTTCTATCGTATCAATACGCATGCGCGCGCGCGACTATCAAGCTCTGCCGGAAGTAGAAAGCGGCCGCTGCGACTAGACAAGAAGAAGAAGCGGTGATCGCCTCTTGTCATATCACGTTTTATACTTGGAGACGCGAAAGTACCGATACAGAGTCAGAAGTCGAAAACATTTCGCCATGTACACGAATAAAAATTACGAACGCGATGTAAAGTACACATACGAGTTGAATCGATTCGTTTTTCGTCTAATGGGAATCTGGTCGTACAGCACGAACAACAGGCTTTTGCAAAAACTGGAGAAGATCCCGTTGATCTCCGGTATTTACGTTCTTCTTATTTTAGAACTAGTGTCTATGCTCCTCTACGTTTTTATGGTATTGAAGGGGACTCGAGCGAGGATTAAAGTTATGGCCACTATGTTATTCACGATCGTGTCGATCCTCAAGTACAGCAATTTGATATACGCGAAGGATCAAATGAGGTGTTGCATGGCGCGTGTCGAGGAGGATTTTCGAGATGTCGTCAGTCCAGCCGCGCGTAACACGATGCTCTTCCACGCGAGAACCGGCAGACGTTTGTTCGTCCTGTGCGGTATATTCATGTATTCTTCTGGGATGACGTACAGAACGCTCATACCGTTGTCGAGAGGGAAGATTGTTATCGCGCAAAATGTTACGATTCGACCCTTGCCGAGCCCTGCTCATTATGTATTGTTCGATCCGCAAATCAGCCCGGCTTACGAGATCATGTTTTTCGTACAATGTTTCACGGGCCTCATAAAGTATACGATTACAGTGGCAGCTTGCGGCATCGCCGCACTTTTTACGATGCACGTCGTCGCGCAATTGGATATATTGGTGATGCTAATGAACAACTTGACTAACGAACGTGAACTTGAGAATGTGAACAGGAAGTTATCTGTTATTGTGGAACATCATATAAGAACGCGAAAGTAACATCCGTTTTTTGTGCATGCATCGATACACACATTCGATCTCAACTGCGTTAACATTACTATTATGTAATATACGTTAACATTCATTCGTTGTGTGTTGCTGTCTTGCATAATATAATACAAAATGTTACGCATTAATAGGAAGCATTCTTACACTATCCTTTCGTATGTTACAAGGAAAGCACTAAAATCGACATAAATATGATAAATCGACATGTTTATTTTTTCCTTATTTGTTTAAGATGGTTGGAAAGAAATCGAGGGATTGATTTCATTTAATTCATTCAAAAGAGTAATATAGGTTTTTTTTTCTAAAAGCTTTACTTCACGTTTAAATATATTCGATTATTTGAAAACGAGACTTACATTTGTCATACATACATTCCAGTTTGTTGCACATGGTGCAAAAAGTATTACAATATTCGAGTCTAATAGAAGTCACTACATGTACTTCTATGTTATGCCTTATACTATATTATGTTATCATGGTATGTAAGATATGGGTAGAGTGCGTGTGTATGTGGAAATATTTTACTGTAATTATTAAAAATCTTATCTCTATACAGGAATGGGAAGCTAGTAATACTATAGCCATGTGTACGTATTTTATCATAGTCGTGTCTCTGACATTCAATATATTTGTATATTGTTTTATTGGTGAACAGCTTTCTGAAAAGGTACGTATAATAGAATGTTGTTCTACACTATACACACGCATTGCAGTGATAAAAAATGTACAACATTTAGTTGAATGATACCGCTACGTTCTTTCTCTAAATGTCACTTTAATGCATGTAATTCATTAACGAATATAGGGGGAACAGGTAGCTTTGACAGCGTGCACGTTAGACTGGCACTTTCTTCCGGATACAAAAGCGCGAGCACTAATTTTAATCATGCTCATGTCAAACACACCAATGAGACTAAAAGCAGGCAATTTCATAGATCTGTCCTTTAGAACATTCGGTATTGTAAGTAATCATATCACATTTTTTCGAATGAAAAAGCGAAATTAACACAAGTATATTGCTCTTTAGGTGGTTAAGACAGCCATGGGGTATTTAAATCTTCTCCGATCGGTTGTTGATTGAGTTATAATGTATTTATTTAGAGTTAAGTAAGTGTAGCATCGGCAGTGATATTAAATATGCAGTGACGAAATAAAGGTAATTGGATAACAAAGCCTAAAGAGCTTTCCTCTTTCGACATCGTCTCTATATCAACGGTACATTACAAAATGTAAGTCTAATGTACTACATATGTCAAATGAAAAATTATAATAATTTTGTTGCAACACATTTCGGGAGATGTTTGTGCTAATGTTTAAGAAATGTTTTAATATAAAATTGTTTTGCTATCGGTTTTCTGCCAAGTCAAAGATAAAGCCTTACTCACTGATATTATGGATAATTTTTCTTTGCAGAACATGTACCGTGACTTTGCTATCTAGCAGACAATCTTCCCTTCATGTCACAAAGAAAAAGTCAACTAAATTTACGAACAACATCTCTTTTCAGATTAATATGTTATACACAAAGTTACTAATACGCGTATAAATAGTAATAATTTTCTCCAAAGCTGTAGTTGTTCACCATTTTCTCAATATAGATAGAAATGTTTGTAAATTCGACATCTCGCTGAAGTCAATGGCCGTTTGGTATCGATGCGGTATCAATGACAACTTTTCCAGGTAGGACGTCAACTTGTCTAAAACTTTAAAAGCAGCTGGGGGAGAAATTTCCTCTTGTGTAAATCAAATATAGATCAGCTTGCGAGGTCTCCGTCGAAGTTACCACGCATGCAATGTTAATAATTAACTTGACGTGCCGTTTCAATCCTTGTATCATGCAAGCGCATGCGGCTACCAAGCTGTGTCCGAAGCGGAAAGTGGCCGCTGCAAGTAGATAAGAAAAAGAATCGGTGAATGTCTTGTCACGTTACGTTTTATACTTACTTTTATACTTAAATGCGACAGGACTGATACAAAATCTCAAATCAGAAATACATCATCATGTATACTAATAAAAATTACAAACGCGATATAAACTACACATACGAGTTGAATCGACGCGTTTTTCGTTTAATAGGAGTCTGGCCGTACTACAGGAGCACGAACTACTGGTTTTTGCAAAAACTGGAGAAGTTTGCGCTGGTCCTCGGTATTTACGTTCTTCTTGTTTTAGAACTAGTGTCTATGCTCCTCTACGTTTTTATGGTAGTGAAAGGGACTCAAATGAGGATTAAAGTTATGGCCACAATGTTATTCACGATTGTGTCGATCCTCAAATACAGCAATTTCATATACGCGAAGGATCAAATGAGATGTTGCATGGCGCGTGTCGAGGAGGATTTTCGAGATGTCGTCAGTCCAGCCGCGCGTAACACGATGCTCTTCTACGCGAGAACCGGCAGACGTTTGTTCATTCTGTGCGGTATATTCATGTATTCTTATGGGATGACGATCAGAATGCTAATACCGTTGTCGAGAGGGAAGATTGTTATCTCGCAAAATGTTACGATTCGACCCTTGCCGAACGCTGCTCATTATGTATTGTTCGATCCGCAAATCAGCCCGGCTTACGAGATCGTGTTTTTCGTGCAGTATTTCACGGGGCTCATGAAGTACACAATTACAGTGGCAGCTTGCGGCATTGCCGCACTTTTTACGATGCACATCGTCGCGCAATTGGATATATTAGTGATGCTAATGAACAATTTGGCTAACGAACATGAACTTGAGAATGTGAACAGGAAGTTATCTGTTATTGTGGAACATCATATAAGAACGCGAAAGTAACATCTGTTTGTTTCTGCACGCATTGATACGCATGTGTTCGGTCTCAATTACGTTAACATTATGTAACATACATTAACATACATTTGTTGTGCGTTGTTACCTTACGTATTATAAAATATTACGCATTAATAAGAAGCACTTCACGTGATGCTTTAATATGTTAGAAGAAATGCACAAAACTGAGATATAAATATCGTTAACCGATATACTTATGTTTATTTTGTTTGCTTATTTAAGATGTTTAGAAAGAGATCAGGGAATTTATTTACATATCATAACAAAGCAATATATTTATTTATCGTAAAAATATGTAGTAGCCATTGTGTAGTTTTAAAAAATATATAAGATTAAAGATAACTTATAAGGATATATAATTGATGTACAAAATATTGTATAATTTTAGTGTTTTTGTTTTATTTTTTAATAATTTCCTATACATATCATAAGTATATCGGTTTCTAGTGCTTTTCCTCTAAACACTTCATCGCATAAGGTATATCCAATTATTTGACAAGACTTACATTTGTCTTACACACATTTCAGTTTGTTGCATATGACACAAAGAATCTTACAATATTTGAGTCTAATAGAAGTCATGACATGTACCTTTTTGATGTGCCTTACGTTATATTATGTCATCATGGTATGTGAGAGACATGAATAAAGTGAATGTGTGTGCACGTGGAAATATTTCACTGTAATTACTAACGTACTTCTTATCTCTACATAGGAATGGGAGGCCAGTAATGCAGTAGCCATGTGTGCGTATGTTATTGCAGTCGTTTCGTCGACATTCAATATATTTGTATATTGTTATATTGGTGAGCAACTCTCTGAAAAGGTACGTATAATATATTGTTGTTCTACACTCTTACATCCTTTATCCTTTATGCAATGATAATAAAATTACACCATTTAGCTGAAACGAAAGATATTGCTATATCCCTCCCCAAATGTCACTTTAATGTCTGTAATTCATTAACGAAATTAGGGGGAACAGGTAGCCTTGACAGCATGCACGTTAGATTGGCACCTTCTTTCGGATACACAAGCGCGAGCAGTAATTTTGATTATACTTATGTCAAACACACCAACGAGACTAAAAGCAGGCAATATCATAGATCTGTCTTTTAGGACATTCGGTTCTGTAAGTAATCATATCACATTTTTCGAATGAAAAAGCACAATTAAGTATATTGCTCTTTAGGTAGTTAAGACGGCCATGGGGTATTTAAATTTTCTCCGATCGGCTGATAATTGAATAATAATGTATTTACTTAGAGTTAAATAAGCGTAGCATCGGAAGTGATATTAAGTATGCAATGCTGAAATAAAAATAGTTAAATAAGAGAGATAAAAGTCTGAAGAACTTTCCTCTTCCGACATCGATTCGTCTTCATATCGGCAGCGCATTACAAAATGTAAGTCTAATGTGTTATATGTGTCAAATGAAAAATTACAATAATTTTTTGGTTGCGACATATTTGGGAAAACGTTTTTGCAGTAATGTTTATGAAATGTTTTAATATGGAATTGTCGTGTTACCGGCTTTCTGTCGAGTCAAAGATGAAGTTTTACTCATTTCTATTATGAGTAATCTTTCTTTGCAGAATATATACCATTTCGTGATTTTTCTATTCAGTAGGGAATCTCCTCTTTGTGCAGAGAAGAAAAAGTCAACTAAATTTGCAAACAACTCTCTTTTCAGATCAATATATTATATCCAAAGTTGCTAATATTTGTACGATATGTAATCATTTTCAGCAAAGTTGCTTACTTTCTTCTCAACATAGATACAAATCGCGTCCGTAAAGTCGACATTTTGTTAAAGCCAACGGCCGTTGGTTATCGATGCGGTATCAATGATAACCTTTCTAGGCAGGACGTCAGCTTGTTCAATATTTAAAAAAGAGCCGGGGAAGAACTTGCTTCTTGTGAAAATCAAACATAGACCAGCTTGCGAGATATCCGTCGAAGTTACCAGGCATGCAATGTTAACGATCAACTTACCCACGTCGTTTCAATCCTTGCAACACGCAAGCGCGAGCGGCTATCAAGCTCCGCTCAAAGTGGGAGGCGGCCTCTGCGAACAGACAAGGAATGATCAGAACAGAAACGGTGATCGTCTTGTCACATCACGTTTTATCTTGCGTATCTCGAATCGCGAAAGTATTATTATAAATCCTCAAGTCGAAGACGTTTCGCAATGTATGCCAATAAAAATTACGAGAGCGACATAGACACTACGTACAAGTTGAATCGATTTATATTCTCTCTGTTGGGCATCTGGCCGTACGTGCGAACAAACTGCTGGCTTCTGCAGGAGCTAAAGAGGACCGCGCTGATCCTGGGATTCTACTTTCTTCTTGGTTATGACCTCCTATCTATGCTCTTTTACATATTCATTGTGCAGAATGAGATGCGCACGAAGCTGAAAGTGATGGCTTCCGTGATATTCTCGGCTGTGTCAATCTCTAAATACCTCAATTTGTTGTATATCAAGAATCAAGTGAAGAATTGCTTGGCGCTTGTCGAGGAGGATTTTCGATATGTCGCCAGTTCAACCGCACGTGACACGATGCTCTTCCATGCGAGAACCGGCAGACGTTTGTCCATTTTGTTCAGTATATTTATGTATACCTCCACATTGGCGTATCGAACGCTTATACCCATTTCGCACGGAAAGATCGTTACCGCTGAGAACGTCACGATCAGGCCACTGACGTGTGCCGCTGAATTTGTAGTGTTCGATCCTCAGCCCAGCCCCGTATACGAAATCGTGTTTTTCGCACAGTGCTTCACGGCGTTGATTAAAACCACGGTGACGGTGGCAGCTTGCGGCATCGCGACGCTCTTCGCGATGCACATTGTTGCACAGTTGGAAATACTAATGGAGACACTGAATAATTTGACGAACGAACACAAACTTGGGAATGCGAACCGGGTGTTATCGGTTATCGTGGATCATCAAATAAAAACGCAAGAGTAACATCCGTTTGTCTTTTGCATGCATTGATACGCACACGTTTATGTCAGAACGAGAACTTAAAGGGCGCATTTCAATTGAAATATATGTTTGTTGTTGGCCTTATATGTGTTGAAATTTTACGACTTAATTGTAGTCGTATGGCGCTTTAATATGATGAATACTTTACGAAATATGTCTGACTGCTGTCAGAATCTCACATGTGTCGTGCTATATATTTCAGTTTCGTTCATATGGTGCAAGGCGTAATACAGTTTTCGAGCTTCTTAGAAGTTGTAACATGTAGTTTTCTGATATGTTTCTTATCATATCATCTTCTTATGGTGCGTAAAAATGATTACGCGGACTGTGTGCGTGTTTATGTGATGAATAATTTAACTTTACCCGTCAAATTTCTTTCTTTATACAGGAATGGGAAGCCAACAATGGCTTAGCTATATTTTCGTATACCATTTTAATCTTTTCATTTGTTTTCAACATATTTACATATTGTTTTATTGGCGAACAGTTATCAGAAAAGGTATATATATATTAGATTATTTCCAAGCGAGAAATCATTAACACAACGTTATTACAATGATATTTTATATGTAACATTTTCAAATATGTAGTTCTTAATGTTGCATAGAACAATATTCATTGACAATAACGTTCATTAACAATAACGTCATTAATGTCGTTGACAATATTTGATCTAAATATTAACAATAATGTTTCTACACCATAATTTTAATATTTATGAACATAATATTATCAAGTAACAGTTTGAAAGCATTTGTAAAATATCATGTCAAAATATTCATAAGATCCACGTAAAATCAACGTTTCAAAAGGTTGATTTAACGTTTCTTACTTACTGAATACGTCTGTGTACACATTGCAGTAGAAATTAATAATATTTAATAATACGAAATGTATCACGAATGTTCTTCTTTGAAATGTCTGTAATTTATTAACGAAACTAGGCAGAACAGGTAGCTTTGACGGTGCGTACATTGGATTGGTACGTTCTTCCGGATACGAAGGCACGACAATTAATTTTACTCATGATCATGTCGAATACCCCATTGAGACTTAAAGCTGGCAACTTTGTGGATCTATCCTTCAGGACATTCGGCCTCGTAAGTAACAGCTTTGAAGTTTAAAAAGTGCATATTATACATTCCAATTTATATATATAACATTTATAATAAATTTCTTTACGCGCGTACATTCGAAATTTTTTCTGATGTTTTACAAAATTTCCCTTGAATGGAGAAGCCATTAATAGAGATATATTATATATTTAGGTTGTTAGGACGGCCGTGGGATATTTAAATCTAATTCGATCGGTTATGGATACTGAGTTATAATTTATTCAACCACAACTGAATTAACTATGTTATCTGTTAATGCACTGTTAAAATAAAAATAATTAAATAACAGAATTTCTGCACATAACTTTTCTCTTACGGCATCAAAACGAAGACGAGGAGAATTCGATGTTTTCATAGATATTCAGGAAAGCGGATCGCGGTGACTTTGATTGTTGGTGAAACTTATTTAAACTTATTTAAAACTGTCATTCTCACGTTATTTTTCTTTTCTTCAACAGTGAGCTGACCTCATCCGCGAGATACGTTCCTTCACAAAACAGTTTACTTCTAGAGTCAGGAGAGAAAAGAACACACTAAACATAAGAATAACGTCCATTCTATGGAAAAATTACCCTGAATTATTATGTTATACATAAAGATACTAATATGTGTACATTCTGTAATAATTTACAGCAGAAACATATATACTCATCTTCTTTCCTACGTAGGTACAAATCGCGTTTGTAAGGTCGGCATCTTGCTAAAGTCAATGGTCGTTTGTTATCAATGCGATATAAATGACAACCTTTCTTAGAGGGACGTCAACTTGTTCAATATTTGAAATGGAGCTGGGGAAGAACTTTCTTCTTGTGAAAATAAAAAATAGATTAGCTTGTGAGATTTCCGACGAAGTTACCACGCATACGTTGTTAACGATTAACTTGACGTGTCGTTTCAATCCTTGCAACACGCAAGCGCGCACGATTATTTCTCCTACCGCCCCTGCCTGCCCTGCTCGAAGAGAAAAGCGGCCGCTGCGAATAGACGAGAAGAAGAAGTCGTCGTCTGGTCACATCACATTTTATACTTCAAATTGCGAAAGTGTCGTTATAAAACCTGACGTCAAACACGTTTCTCAATGATTGTCCAAGCAAATTACGACATACATCCTATGTATAAGCTGAGTCGAGTGGTATTTTCTCTATTGGGTATCTGGCCATATGCGTCAACGAACTCCTGGCTCCTAGAGAAGTTAAAAAGGACCGTTCTACTTCTGGGACTTTATTTCCTCCTTGGTTTTGACCTAATTCCTATGCTCCTTTACGTATTCCTGGTGCAGAATGAGACTCGTGTCAAGCTGAAAGTTATGGCATCGATAATATTTACGATAGTGTCGATCTTTAAGTACAGCAATCTGTTGTACCTCAAGAATCAAGTGAGAAATTGCTTGACGCGTGTCGAGCAAGATTTTCGAAGTGTCATCAGTCCGACCGCGCGTGAAACGATGCTCTTCCATGCGAGAACCGGAAGATTTTTGTGCATTCTGTCCTGTATAATCACGTATTCCACCTCAATAGCGTATCGAGTGTTTATACCGCTTTCGCACGGGAAGATTGTCACCCCTGAAAATATCACAATTAGACCATTGCCGCTTGTTGCTCACTTTGTGGTATTCGATCCTCAGCCTAGCCCGGTTTACGAGATCGTGTTCTTCGTACAGTTCTTCACATCCCTCGTCAAATCCACGATCGCAGTGGCAACCTGCTGCATCGCGTCGCTCTTCGCTATGCACATCGTCGCGCAATTGGAGATATTGACGGCAACAATGAACAATTTGACGTGCGAACACAAAGATGGGAATGTGTCGGGGGAATTATCAATTATCGTGGAACATCAAATAAAAACGCAAGAGTAACGTCCGTTTGGTTTTGTATCCATCAATCCATCAATACACACGTCTGTTCTTTTCTATTCAATTAAAAATTCACATTTCACATGAAACGTAACACGTATACATTGCAGTGTTTTTTTGTTATTCTTACATGTGATAAAAGTTTGGAAACATGTCACATGATGCTTCGATACGGGAAATAATTTGCGAAGTATATCTGATCGCTGCCAGAATATGAGTCTTATTTTTGCCATGCTATATATTCCAGTTTAGTTCACATGGTGCAAGGTGTTATTCACTATTGGAGCCTACTGGAAATTATAACATCTAGCTTTCTGATATGTTTTATATCATATCACCTTCTTATGGTATGTAAGAATTATTATTATATTGTGTTTGTGATGTGTGACAATAATTTAACTATACTTGTTGATATACTTCGATTCTCTATACAGGAATGGGAAGCTAGCAATGGCATCGCTACGTTTGCGTATATCATTACAATCTCTTCGTTTATCTTCTACATATTTTTATATTGTTTTATCGGCGAACAGCTCTCTGAAAAGGTATATTAGATTGTTCTTATATACATACATTGCAATGGTTATAAAAATATTATCTTTCGCAAAAACGAAGGGTATTGCGATGTTTCTCTTTCAAACGTCACTCTAATGTTTGTAATTTATTAACGAAACTAGGCAGAACAAGTGGCTCTGACAGCATGCACTTTGGATTGGTACGTTCTTCCGGACACGAAGGCGCGGGCGTTAATTTTGCTCATGATCATGTCGAATACTCCATTGAAACTTAAAGCTGGCAGCTTTATGGATCTATCCTTCAGGACATTTGGTCTCGTAAGTAAAAGTTTCCTTCGGAAATAAGGTTCTATTTATTTTAATTTACATAGACATTGGTCGTTAAACTCCTTTATGCTCGTACACATAAAAGTTCTCTTATCGGGGGATTTACAGAATTTTTTTTCAAATAGGAAAGCCCTTAACACAGATATATTGTGTATCTAGGTTGTTAGGACATCCGTAGGGTATTTAAACCTAATTCGATCGGTTATGGTCTGACTTCTGACATATTCAATCAAAGATAAGTTAGCTATGTTAGCTGTTAATACACTGTTAAAATAAAAATAATTAAATAACAGAATGTCCACAGAACTTTTCTCTTTCGATATCGAACGCTCGATGTTTTCTAGATAGTCAAGAAAGCTGATTGCGTGGTGACTTTGATACTCGGTAAGCTTATTTAAAGCCGCTACTTTCTTCCAATGCAATAAAGAAAAGGCAAACTAGTGTTGAAAGTATAAAAGACATTTATCCGGATTCGTTATGTTATACACGTATATATTTGATAATAATTTTCAGTGTGTAGATATACTTAACTTCTTCTTAATGTATATGCAAATCGCGTATGTAAAGTCGACATCCTGCTAAGGTCAATAGCCGTTTGGTATCGATACGGTATCAATGACAACTTTTTCCCGGGACGTCACTTGTATAAAACTTGAAAAGCAGCTGGGGGAGAACTTTCTTCTTGTGTAAATCAAATATAGATCAGTTTGCGAGGTCTCCGTCGAAGTTACCACGCATGCAATGTTAATGAATAATTTTACGTGCCGTTTCAATCCTTGCAACACGCATGCGCGCGTGGCTGTCAAGCTCTGCTCGAAGTAGGAAATTGCTGTTACGTACACTCAAGAGGAAGAACCGGCAGTCATCTTGTCTCATCATATTTTATACCTTGTAACGCGCAGGTACCTTTACAGTACCAACTCAAAAACGTTTCGTAATGTTTGCCAATGCGAATTACGAGCGCGACATAAACTACACGTACAGGTTGAATCGATTTGTATTTTCTATGTTGGGCATCTGGCCGTATGCACAAACCAACTTCTGGCTTCTGCAGAAGCTAAAGAGGACGGTGTTACTTCTGGGCTTCTATTTTCTACTTTGTTGTGACCTAATTTCTATGCTCCTTTATATATTCATGGTGCAAAAGGAGACACGCGTGAAGCTGAAAGTTATGGCCGCCGTGATATACTCGATTGTGACGATCTTCAAGTACAGCAATCTAGTGTATATAAAGAATCGAGTGAGAAATTGCTTGACGCGTGTCGAGGAGGATTTTCGTAGTGTCGCGAGTTCGTCTGCGCGCAAGACGATGCTCCTTCACGCGAAAATCGGCAGACATTTGTTCATCCTGTGCAGTGCATTCATGTATTCGGCCGGAATGGCGTATCGGGCGGTTATACCGCTTTCAAAGGGAAAGATCGTCACCGCTGAGAACATCACGATTAGACCATTGCCTTGCGCTGCTCATTTTATAGTGTTCGATCCGCAGACCAGCCCGGCTTACGAGATCGTGTTCTTCGCACAGTGCTTCACGGCGTTCATTAAGAACACGATCACAGTGGCAGCGTGCGGCATCGCGGCGCTTTTTACGATGCATACAGTCGCGCAATTGGAGATACTGATGACGGCAATGAACAATTTGACGAACAAACACAAACTTGGGAATGTGAACAGGGAATTATCTATTATTGTGGAACATCAAATAAAAACGCGACAGTAACATCTATTCGTTTCTTTCACGCATCGATACACACACGGCTGTTTCCGATCGAGCTAAATATTCGCATTTCTTGACAAATTCATTGTTGTTATTTTTATATGTGATGAAATTGATGTGTCAGTTGGAAACATATTACATAGTGCTTTGATATAATAAATACGTTCTAAATATGTACGATTTAAATGCCTAAAAAAACTAATATCTTACATTTGTGTTACTATATATTCCAGTTTTGTTCACATGGTGCAAAGCGTTATACAGTATTCGAGTCTAGTAGAAGTCATAACGTGTAGTTTTCTGGTATGCTTCTTAACATTTTATCTTCTTATGGTACGTAAAAATTATTAGGCGGGCTCTGAGCGTGTGCATTGCATTAATTTAATTGTACTTGTGGACACGCTTTGTTTCTCTATACAGGAATGGGAAGCTAGCAATGCCATCGCTATGTGTTCGTATTTTATTACGGTCCTGTCGTTTGGCTTCAACATATTTATATATTGCTTTATTGGCGAACAGCTGTCTGAAAAGGTTTTGTATATTATAATATTCGTCCACACACATATTGCAATGGTAATAATAATATTACATTTAGCGAGAACCAAATATATTGCGATGCTCTTCTCGCGAGACATATCACACGTTTGTAGTTTTATTTAATATTATTTTATCTAATATTATTTTATATTTGTAATTTGTTAAAATAGGCAGAGCAGGTAGCCTTGACAGCGTGTACCTTGGATTGGTACATTCTTCCGGATGGGAAAGCGCGAGCGTTAATTTTACTCATGATCATGTCTAATATCCCATTGAAACTTAAAGCTGGCAACTTTGTGGATCTATCCTTCAGGACTTTTGGTCTCGTAAGTAACAGCTTTTTTTAGAAAATGAATTTTATTTATTTTCATTTACATGATACTCTTGTGTGAATTCCTCCGTTCGATTGAATGTTTTCATTAGAAATTTTATCAAGTTTTCCTCGAATAGGGGAAGCTATTAAAATAGATATATTGTATATTTAGGTTGTTAGGACGGCCGTGGGATATTTAAATCTACTTCGATCAGTTATGGAATGAATGGTAACATTTTCAACTATAGCTAAATTAGTTGTTTTAGCATGCACTAAAATAAAATTAATTAAATAATAGAAATTATACACAAAACTTTTCCCTCCTGACATCGAAAGACATCGTAATTTTGTTAGAAAAATGAGTAAGTGTAAAATTGTAACAGTAAAGAATATATGACTTCTGCTACGGAGATAATAATTGTACAGCTGTTGTCAAGTCAAATTTCCAGCTTTCCATTATTTTTTACTGAAATATATTGTTTCTGTGCTATTGAAAATGTGGTTGTGTGCAATTCTCCTTTCTTATTCTTTACGTAGATTACTTTCTCTTAGAAGCTTCTATTTTCCTGTTTTCATATATATAGTGCGTGAGAATGTAAAGTTGTTTAAACGTTTTTTTGGCTGAGATTATACCGTTTCTTTTTATCGAATGGAGGAGCGATTAATATACTTATACTGTACTTTAGTAGTTTTATGGACTATTATTATGGGTGATCTTTTTTTCTTTATAGAACGTCAACCCTTTCGTAATTTTTCTATCTAGCAGGGAACCTTTCCTTCTACCCAAGAGAAAAAAGCACACTAAACATAAGAATAACGTCCCTCCTATGGGAAAACGTTTACCTAGAATTATTGTGTTACACATAGAGTGACCAATACGTGTACATCCTATAATAATTTTTAGTAGAGACATGGATATTCACTTTCTCAATGTAGATATAAATCGCGTTTATAAGGTCGAGAATGCCAAAGTCAATGGCCGTTTGTTATCGATGCGACATGAATGACAACCTTTTCTAGCGGGATATCAACTTGTTTAATAATTAAAAAGGAGCTGGAAAAGAACCTCCTTCTCGTATAAATCAAAAATAGATTAGCCTGCAAGATGTCCGCCAAAGTTACTACGCGTACAATATTGACGTGTAGTTGACGTATAATCACAATCAATGCAACGCGCAAGCGCGCGCAACTCGAAGCGGAAAGCGATCGCTTCTGCGAACAGACAAGAAGAAGGAGTCGTAGTCGTCTTGTCAGGTCACGTATTATACTTTGAAACGCGAGAACGCCGTTATAATACTTCAAGTGGAACGGAGTTTTACAATGTACACCAATGAAAATTACGAACGCGACATAGAGTTTACGTATAAATTAAATCGAATTTTGTTTTCCTTGTTGGGCATGTGGCCGTACACATCAACGAACTCTTGGTTTCTGCAAAAGCTAAAAAGGGCCGTTCTGCTTCTGGGACTTTACTTCCTCCTCGGTTTCGACCTAATTCCTATGCTCCTTTACATATTCATGGTGCAGAATGAGATGAACGTGAAGCTGAAAATTATGGCATCTGTGCTATTCTCGGTCATGTCGATCTTCAAATACAGCAATCTGCTGTACGTCAAGAATCAAGTGAGAAATTGCTTGGCGCGTGTCGAGCAGGATTTCCGGAGTGTCATCAATCCGACCGCGCGTGAGACAATGCTTTTCCATGCGAGAACCGGAAGACGTTTGTGCATTCTGTCCTGCGTGATAACGTATACCTCTTCAATGGCGTATCGAACGCTTATACCGCTTTCGCACGGGAAGATCATCACCGCCGAGAATATCACGATTAGACCATTGCCGTGCGCAGCTCATTTTGTAGTGTTTGATCCTCAACCTAGTCCGGTTTACGAAATCGTTTTCTTCGTACAGTGCTTCACGTCGCTCGTCAAGTCCACGATCGCAGTGGCAGCTTGCGGCATCGCGTCGCTCTTCGCGATGCATATCGTCGCACAGTTGGAAATCTTGATGACGATAATGAACAATTTGACGAGCGGATGCAAAAATGGGGATGCGAACGGGGAATTATCAGTTATTGTGGAACATCAAATAAGAACGAAAGAGTAACATCAGTTTGTTTTTGTATGCATCGATACACGTCTATTCTTTCTTGTTTGAGTCAAATATTTACATTCCATATGAAACATATGTCTTGTTGTTATTCTTATGTGTGATAAAATTACGTGTCAGTTGGAAACATATCACATGGTTCTCTTTGATAAATATTTCGCGAAGTATATCTGATTATTACCAGAGTATACGAGTCTCACCTTTCTCATGATATAAATTTTAGTCTGGTTCACATGGTGCAAGGTGTTATACACTATTCGAGCCTATTAGAAGTCGTAACGTGTAGCTTTCTGATATGTTTCCTAGCATACCATCTTCTTATGGTACGTAAGAATTAATAGGCGGACTATGTGCGTGTTTATACAATAATTTAATTGTGCTTGTCGCGCGACATGCTTTGTTTCTCTATTTAGGAATGGGAAGCCAGCAATGGCGTAGCTATGTTCTCGTATTTCATTACAATCTTTTCGTTTATTTTCAATATATTTACATATTGTTTTATTGGCGAACAACTCTCTGAAATGGTAGGTATATTAAATTGTTTTTACACGTATACATTGCAGTGATAATAATATGACCTTTCAAAATGAAAGATATCGAGATGGCCCTCTTTCAAATGTCGCTCTAATGTCTGTAATTTATTAACGAAAGGCAGAACAGGTGGCCTTGACATCGTGTACCTTGGATTGGTACGTTCTTCCGGATACAAAGGCGCGAGCGGTAATTTTGCTCATGATTATGTCGAACACCCCGTTGAGACTTAAAGCTGGCAGCTTTATGGATCTATCCTTCAGGACATTCGGTCTTGTAAGTAACAGCTTTGTTGAGAAAGTGCGTTTTATTTATTTTAATTTATATGCGTTGCGTTTGTGTGTAAATCTCCTTCATGCGCGTATATATGGAAGCTCAATTATCGGAGGTTTTACAAATTTTTCTTCAAATGGGAAGGCTGTTAACACAGATATATTGTATATTTAGGTCGTTAGGACGGCCGTGGGGTATTTAAATCTGATTCGATCAGTTATGGTCTGAGTAATAACATGTTTCAATCTCATGGCTAAATTAGCTATGTTAGCTGTTAATGCACTGTTAAAATAAAACTAATTAAATAACGGAGTGAGTCTACAGAACTTTCTTCTTTCAATATCGAAAGAAACGCAACGTTTTGTAGATAATCAAGAAAGCTGATCGCGTGGTTGGATACTCGGTAAGCTTATCCAATAACGCAGTTGCGTTTGCGTGTCGTAAAAGTTAACGGATAAAAATACTTTCTACACGCGAACAAAATCGACTTTAGATGACATTTTCAGATGCCATGAATGTTAAATATTTTTGTACATGAGGCACTCCACTGTGATTTTCAGATTCTTAAAACAGCTGCGGCATATCTTAATGTGCTTCTAAGTGTAACCTAACGAATGCGCTTCTGTAAGCAAAAGTAAATGAAAAAAAATGAGGATGAAAGATGTACGAAAATCGATAATAACAGTACCATATTTGTCAGTTAACATCTTGTCATCAAGACGTATGTGACACGTGAAAATTTTCAGTCAAAATGAACTTCTTGCAAAATAAGCGATTGAAATTGCTTGTTATTACTTAGAAAGAATACCTGTAGTTGATTATTAAATTTAGTATGAGATTAATACCTGCACTAAGTATATTATTAGAATTACCAGATAATATTTCCAAGTATAAAGCCACAATACTAGAAAAGGTAAAATTGAAAGCTTTGGATATTCAAGATGTGCTTTAGTCTCCACTTCTGTCATGAAACTTCACCGTTTGCTGCAAAGTCAACTCTTCAATCAAAATTTAAAGTTTAAAATGGAAATAATGCAGCGTAGCAGTGCAGCATTATTTTCAAAGTTTTGTATTCTTCTCCTAACATTATATTACTTAGTATATACGTGTGAAGAATTACGTTATATGTGTTTTTACGTTTTAATATAGATATGAATTTTCGACTGATAACTTTTCGAGAATTCAGATATTTGTGAAATACCAACCTTTACTATGATAACGTAGAAAGAAGAAAAATCGGACAAAGTTGCGTTGTATTCGTGATTGTATTCATGCGTGCAACATAAATATGCCCGTTGGATATGTACCTTAATGCATCTGGAACTACTCGTCTAAGACGGCCAGTTATGAAAGTTTACGAAGCTCAGCTCTATATTCATTATGATAGGCGGAGAAGGTAGCGCTTACATCATGCGAACTCGAGTGGTATCGTCTTCCAGATAAGAAAGCACATGGGATTGTCTTAGTGTTGATTATGTCTAACGTGCCGATTATGATCACTGCTGGCAAACCCTTCGACCTTTCATTCCAGACGTTCGGCGAGATAAGGAAACGAATTCGAATGTTATTATAATCGTTTATTCGTACTCAAGAACGAACGATTGCCGCTACGTCATTAAACTGAAAAGAGAAAGTGACATGTTTTATAGATTTTTAGTTATGCCTTCCAGACTCATAGCATTTTAAAGTAATTTCACCTTTTTTACATGAATTATCCGCATAAATGATTTTAAGTTAATTAGTCCAATGCAATATCGCGTTATGTTTGAAACTCTTATGAGTTTTCATTATGTTGTGTCATGTTAACCATAGCTTTGCACATTTATTTCGGGGCCCTCAATTCGCTACATTTTAGTTTGTGAGACTACTCGCTTTTGTTGTTTTGTCATTTTTGTTCTAATTGATGTTTATAAGCTTTTAATGTGATGTAACATGTGAAAACTAAAAAACCGAAAAATGTTCAGCAATCCACTGAAGCGGAACGTGCAAAGCTAGAATTAATATGCAAATTTATATGTAAGATATTTCTTTGCTTTTATAGATTATTAAAACAGCTGCGGCGTATTTTAATATCCTTCGCAGCATAACCAACTGAATGCATTTTTGTTATTGAGAACCTGACACAAACGAACGGGGCATATAAGATATACACATGTATAGTAATATCATATACATTAATCGATCAATATATATCACATCGACAATTTTTATGTTACACTCTACAATTTCCTGTCAAAATGAACTTCTTACGAGATATGTGAATGAAATTCTGTCTTTCTTTCATGAAAAAGTATTCGTAGCTGTTTATCAAATTTAGTATCAGATTTACAGGTTTTGAGCAAAAGAAGTTACAACAATGTGAGGCTTCAGCATAGAACAGAATTGAGATTATTTGAAAATTGTATTGAATATACGAAGTTTGTTTCAGTCTCTCCCCCGATGATAAAACTTCTCGTCTGTTAGAAAGTCAACCCTCACATTAATCTAGAAAGAAGAAAAATCGGACGCAGTTGCGTTTGCATATAAAAGTAAACGGATAAAAATACTTTCTATACGCAAACAAAATCGACTTTAAACGAGAAAGTTACTTTACGAACTTTCTAGCTCTCAATTTTTCTGAATTACGCAACGTTGTAGTTCTTACGCGCGCAAGCGCATTCTAATAGCGAGTTTACTTGATCGCCAGCTTTTTCTTCAACGGTCAGTTGTACTTCGTGTCGTCTGAGTTCCGCACTGCTTTTCTAACGTATCCCCCAATACAGTAGAATCTTAGAGAAGATTAGCTTTTGCATACGAGATCGCTAAGCGATCATTAATATGCTCGAGGTGGCACAAAACGAGCATTACCAGGAGGATGTCAAAAATATCTTGCAATTAACTCATAATATTTTGTTTGCACTTGGCGTTTGGCCAAATTCCAGCGGGAAACGATCGACTTGCGAGAAAATTGGCAAGCTACTGCGAATCTTGGTTGCGTACACTTTTCTTTTTTGTTCCTTAATGCCAGGCGCGCTTTATTGGATATTCGAGAAAAGAGCTCGCGCTCGACTGCGTACAACTACGATTATGCTTTACGGTTTAATGAGCGTGGCCAAATATTACAATTTGATAACACGCGAAGATCAGATCAGGCACTGTTTGAAGCATTTCGAAGAGGATTGGAAGAACGTCGACAACGTGGACGCAAGAAACACGATGCTTAAATCCGCGAGAATCGGGAGACGTTTGGTCATGATTTCCGCGGGCTTCTTGTACAGCAGTGGAATCGCGTTTCGAACGTTGATACCATTGGCCAGAGGAAAGACCGTCACCCCGCAAAACGTCACAATCAGACCCTTGCCTTATCCGACTTATCTCTTTTCGTTTGACTTTTATTCCAGTCCAACCTACGAAATAGTTTATGCAATGCAATGCTTCTCTGGGCTAGTTACTATATCAATCGCAGTAAGCTTATATGGCCTCGTTATTATCTTCACATTGCACGCTTGCGGCCAGCTAAAAGTTTTAGTTGACTTAATAAACGGTCTCGTCGAGAAGAAAGAACGAGATGAGTCAAAGGTAAATAAGAAGCTGAGTGTTATCGTCAATCATCAAACACGAATACGCAGGTGCGTTTACGGACGTTGTATTTCGTTTCGCCAGTTTATTTCTACATTTGATGACAGTATCAGGCCATCGGTAAATACATTTCAGCTTTTTGCAATTGGTGGAGCACACTCTTCAGCAAATGTGTTTTATAGAGTTAGCCGGGGGCACAATAATAATTTGCATCCTAAGTTATTGCATATTAATGGTTTGTTATTCCGTTCATTTTAATATACGTGCGAATGAAAAAGTTCCAAAGTAAATCACAATGAACTGCCGACAAGAACTTTCGTCAGTTTATTGCACAATGGCGTTACATTTAGTACATAAAGATGTTATATTATTTTTCTGTAGGAATGGGAGAGTAGTAATTCAATAGGGATGAGCTCTTACTTTATTTCTCTTATAGCCGGGGTAATAAATATATTCATGTTCTGTTATACTGGAGAACAGCTTATGACGCAGGTATATTTTCACATAGTTGAAATCGTGAAGTCGTTTCATTGATCACGCACATGCAACTATATTTATGCGTACAACATAAATGTGCTTATTGGATATGTACATTAATGCATCTACTGGTCTAAGATGGCCAGTTGTGAAAGTTTACGAAGCTCAGATCTCTATTCATTACGACAGGCGGAGAAGGTAGCGGTTACATCATGCGAACTCGAGTGGTATCGTCTTCCAGATAAGAAAGCACGTGGAATTGTTTTAGTGATGATTATGTCTAATGTGCCGTTGAAGATTACTGCTGGCAAACCCTTCGTCCTTTCAGTCAAAACGTTCGGCGAGGTAATAGAATTAATTCAAATGTTATTATAATCGTTTACTCGTACTCAGTAACGTACGATTGTCGCTATGTCATTAAACTGAAAAGAGAAAGTGACACGTTTTATAGATTTTTATTTATGCGTTCCAGACTTATAGCATTTTTAAGTATTTATTATATAATTCATTATTTATTATATAATTAAGTATTTATTATATAATTTTCCCTTCTTTACGTGAATAACTTGAATGCGTGATTTTAAGCTAATTGGACCAATGCAATATTGAGTTGTATTTGAAAATCTTATGAGTTTTCCTTAAGTTGTGCCATGTAAATCATAGCTTAGTACATTTATTTCTGGGCCCTCAATTCGCTACATTTTAGTTTGTGAGACTACCCGCTTTTGTTGTTTTGTCATTTTTGTTCTAATTGATGTTTTTAAGCTTTTAATGTAATGTATCATGTGAAAACTAGAAGACCGAAAAAGTTCAGCAATCCACTGAAGTGGAACGTGCAAAGCTGAAATTAATATGCAAATTTATATGTAATATATTTCTTTGTTTTTATTAGATTATCAGAACAGCTGCGGCGTATTTTAATGTACTTCGAAGCGTAACCAATTGAATGCATTTTTGTTATTGAGAACCTGACACAAATGAACGGGGTATATAAGATAGATATATGTAATAATAATATCATATACGTTAATCGATCAATGTATATCGCATCGTCAATTTTTATGTTACACTGTACAATTTCCCGTCAAAATGAACTTCTTACGAGATAAGTGAATGAAATCTGTCTTTCTTTCATGAAAAAGTATTCGTAGCTGTTTATCAAATTTAGTATCAGATTTACAGGTTTTGAATAAAATAAGTTACAACAATGTAAGGCTTTACCATAGAACAGAATTGTGATTATTTGAAAGTTGTATTGAATATACAAAGTTTGTTTCAGTTTGTTCTCTCCCCCGATGATGAAACTTCTCATTCGTTAGAAAGTCAATCCTCACATCAATGTAGAAAGAAGAAAAATTGGACGCAGTTGCGTTTGCATATAAATGTTAACGGATAAAAATACTTTCTATACGCAAACAAAATTGACTTTAAACGAGAAAGTTACTTTACGAACTTTCTAGCTCTCAATTTTT